CATCTCCTTAAAGGGTCATTATCCGTCTAGTACTATCAATATGGCTCCTCGTCTCTAGAGCTTTGTTACAACTGACAGGAATAATGAATCTTCACAATATTCATATTGTCTACTTTGAGTACAAGTTTTCATTGTTTTGCTTTTAGTTTTCTAAACTAAAACCTCGTACTCATAGAGATAGTATTCTTGATATACTCACGATCTTTTCTCCCAAAGATTCATTACATTTGGATTTACGAGTTGGAACGATGATTATTAAAAAAAAAAAAAAAACCCAACATGAAAATACTTGAAATTAAAAGTGGGTGTACCTAACAAACATGGATACGATTACATTTAATGAGATTTGTCATCTGCAAAGAAAGAATTAAGAGGGAGCTCACATAATCGTATCGAGTCTTCCAAGCGGACGGTTCTTCTATAAATCCTTCAAATTCCATCTCACAAAGAGCTAAATAGTTGTCAATTTGTCCCAAATCCATATTCAAATCTGCATTATGTTGCTTTAATAATTCATCCTCCAATAAAACTCGTAATGAATCTTTACTCATCTGATATTGGGAAGTGCAGCTTGTAAATACTTGTAGCGTTCGATTATCCAATTGTCCGTTTAGAGTTTGATTCAAAAGGTAAGAATGATCATCGATGACAACATGAAGAGTTTCGTTGATAAATATGGCGAGAAAACCCGTCAAATTTGACTTCAAATCTTCACAAGGATTAGAGTTGATCACAGAAATGCATAAATCTTTCAACTCACCCGTTCGGTCGCACGTGGCTCGAGTGAAATTGCTTCCCGCTTTCATCTCTGGATCTAAAGTATTGGCTGCTGCAGAGAGAAGAAGAAAAGTGAAGAACACAGCAAATGACTGATTCATATTGATCTAACTTGATTAATCTTGTATTATGAAGAACACTAATTAGAACAAGAGGTGTATTTATACATGTTGTTTTCTTTTTAATTGAAGATTTAATCATGTTTAATTTGTGATAAGGGAAATAAAATGTTGGCTATCTTTATTACCTTGCCATGTAAGGAACCCTTAGCTTCAAGAGAACGCCTTCTTTCATGGCTAAAAATAATGAACTTTCAGTTGGTTTTTTTGTTTGACTAGTATTATAGAAGACAAAAGGAAAAAAAAAAAGTTTCTTCCAATTTTGAATAAAGGTAGATATATATCACACTGCTAGCAGATATTGTCTGCTTTGAGTCGATACGTATAGCCATCAGCCTCACGGTTAAAATGGTCTGCTAAGAAGAGGTTTTCACACCCTTATAAAAAAAATGTTTCGTTCTCCTCCCCAACTATGTGTGATCTCACCATTCACCCCCTTTTGAGGCCTAGCGTCCTCGTTGATACTCGTTCTTCTCTCCAATTGATGTGAGATCTCATAATCCACTCCCTTTCAGGGCCCAGTGTTCTCACTGACACTCGTTTCTCTCTCCAATTGATGTGAGATCTGATGACTTGGAAATTTGACAACTCGAACTATCCAATCCATACTATAAAAGTTGAGTTGGGTAAAAAAAAAAAAAAAAAAAAAAAAAAAAAAAA